GCTTGTTGCACTACATACGCGATTATTCGTAACTCGAATATCCTTACATCGATTTTCCGGACTTTGATTATCCGGATGTGAAATGAACAGCGATGGTAACACTTCTTGACTGACGAAAGAACTCCTTCTTTGTTTTCTACTTTCCAAAACCGGCTTCCTTTTGATGTAGTTCGAGATCTAACGCTTTCAAAATAGTGAAAATTAAAGAAAAAAACACCGAAAGTATAAGAATGGAAAGAAAGAAATGAATGAAAAAAAAGAAAGAAAGAAAGAAATGATACGGCGTCTACTTTGCAGTAATGGGGATTATCTAAGTTTAGATTAGATGTGCTATAATGCGCGAAGGGTGGAGCACCCAGTGAGGAACAAACTCACTACACAGTCATAATTGATTTAGCGAGACAAGCTTGCTAAATATTACACCACATCAAAGTCCTCAAAAGGTTTTCTAGGTATAGCTTCCATGTGCCACACAGACGAAAGTTTGGAGCACCCAGTGAGGATCAAACTCACTATTCAGTTGTAATTGATTTAGCGGGACACGCTTGCTAACCATTACACCACATCTGATTACCCTAAATGATTTTCTAGGCATAGCTCAGATATGGCACAAGGCCGAAAGTGTGGAGCACCCAGTGAGGATCAAACTCACTACACAGTCATAATTGAATTAGCGAGACAAGCTTGTCAAACATTACACCACATCAAAGTTTTTTTGCACAGATTCGATGTGCCACATAGGCGAAAGTTTGGAGCACCCAGTGAGGATCATACTCACTACTGAGTTGTAATTAGTAAAGCGAGAGCAGCTTTCTGGCCACTACACCACGTCGAGTTGCTCGAAATCATGTTCTAAGCATAGCTTCGATGTGGCACAAGGCCGAAAGTGTGGAGCACCCAGTAAGGATCAAATTTAATACTCAGTTGTAATTGATCTAGCGAGATACGGTTTCCAACCATTACCCCACATCTAAGTACCCTAAATGATTTTCTAAGTATACCTCTGATATGGCACCAAGGCTGAAATTGTGGAGTAACCAGTTGAGTTCCTCATTTGTATTTGACCTAGCGAGACAAGCTTGCTAACCACTATATCACGTTGAAGGTCTCCTACCATGGAGCAATGGTTCGTAACCAAGATTTACTAGACAAATTCAGCATGTACTAGGTCCAATACTTATTGGATGGTCCACTTTTGTAAACCCATTCTTCTTGTTGTTCTTTTCCTTCTGTTCTTTCTACCGTGTCCCTTCAGGACGTGGACGATTATATCTCTCCACAACTTCTTATACTTTGTAACCCTTAGAAAGTTTCGTCTTTTCGTTCCCAGTTCCTGTTCTAACATGCATTTATAGAAGCTCGTTAAGTAGGTCACTCGCTGCTTTCATTTGCCTCTCCTGTGAGTGTTAAATTCTCCAGACCCTCTTTTCTTATTATGTGTCGGTTTCTGTCTGATTCTAAGTAAGAGTATCATTTTTGTTTTCTTTTTTTTTTTCCGCCGTTAATCACATGTTCAGTTCATGGTATTCTCAACAACCTTCTGTTGAAACACATTTCCGTTGTCTCAAATCTGTTGTTCCTCCGTGATGTGATTCTCCAACATTCACTGTCGCAGAGGAAGATTGATATTACATAGCAATTGAGTACTCTTTTCTTTGTTTCTGTCGAAATTTTCCTACCTGTCTTCAAAAACAAAGGCAGCGTGTCGAATCGGAGTGTTTACTTCTCTCGCTTATTTCTTACCGTCGTCAGAGGAAAGAGTCTAAAGTCGTCAAAAGTCAAGGTTATGAGTATGTCTATCTATAAAAGGCAGGATGTGTGTGTGTGTGTGTGTGTGTGTGTGTGTGCGTGTGTGTATGTAACGAATGCACGGCCGCAATTTTCGACGGATTTGCACCAAAATTTACATGCACATGCTCCAAGTTAGCGGGAAAGCCAAGACCGACTTTGCATTTCTCAACTCCCATCGATAGTGGAAATAATCGATTTTTCTTGCTTCTACGGAAGTTTTCATGTAGTTTGCGGCCATTTTCTACTGGCCAGAGTGAGAACCTATAGCTGGCTACCACGAATAGACAGGAAGATTCTATTGGCCAGCATTAGAGCCAATAGCTGACTGACACGAATGTTAACTATCATGCTAGTATGCAAAAAAATCGATAACTGCATTCGTCACAAGTGGGAAAAATTTAAATCTGCATGGCACTTTACTCTAATTGGCTCATTCGCTTGCTTAAACTCAACGTTGATTCTGATTCCGCAGAACTGGGTTGGGTGTGAAAAAGTATTTGTTGTTAACATTCTTTTTTTCATTCGGTTTTTCCAGTTACGAGTCTTTTTTTAAGCTGATCGTTTTGTGTTCATTTTGTTTAGTTCTTTTTTTCGTAACAGATTTAATGTTTAGTATAGAGCTTAGAAAAAAATCGTGATAGGCAAGAAGTAAGGCATGTAGCAACATCAGCACGGCAAAGGACACTCCTTTAAAGGCAAGAAAGGGCAAAAATATTTTACGTCAAGTGATAGCGATTGCTGTATGAGTCGTACGATTTTTTAATCAAGCACGGACAACGCCGGGCCATGCTGCTAGTTGATTAGCATAGTGAATAGGTGAAAAAATGAAGCTGCTCAATCTTCCAGTTTCAGTGTTCTGCTATAACTGTTAAATAATAGTCTAGCAGACCATTATATTTTAAGGAATTGTATTCTTCTATGAGGAGGCACGGTGGAGTCATGGGTAGCGGCTCGGATTGAAGAATCGAGGAGCCGAGTTCGAATTCCAGTCGAATCCATTACATGCTAATACCTTTGTGAATCCTCTTCTTCTCCCCCAGATATGTGTAAGAAGCAAGGCAGACCGGGTTCTATAACCTTTGATGGTTATAGAATCCGGTCACTGAAATAAATGGCAAGGGAAAAAAATCTGCCTCGTCAGTCATGTATTGAAAGATACATGATCGCCCACGCGTGTATGGCACATATGGCACATAACTGATTCTTCTCTGATTTCCTCTTTTTGAGGTCAGATACAGGAAACAGAGGAAGTCGTTTTTGATTGGCTAAAACTAGTGTGGAAATGTTAGAGATAGACAGGGATTTCAGGGAGTTAAGTTTTACACGTCATACAATGTAGACGCAGTTCTTTCGTATCTCGGAAACTGCACCCCAGTGGGATGGGATAGCAATCTCACTGGCTGGTTAGAGGATGTACCCGTCGACATGGTTAATAAACTAGTACGATTTAAAATCCGTTTTGTTGAAGTTCTCATTTATCTCCGAAAAAAAACAACCGGCGAACAACGGCCGAGAAAGAAGGCAACGTTTTGAGTGAATCAAGACCGTCGCTCCAAGACCAATCCGAGAAAAATGGGCTATACAACATTATATTAATTGGTGCAGTGACAAAGAGACCCCCAGAACGAGAGGGCTATACAGCAGCTTATGTAAATGGATGTCAGAACAAGAGAGAGAGTAGTAAAAAAAAAAAAACAAGCACTGATAAGATGTTGTGGAGAGCTATGATCATCCTCGTCCTGACAGGTCAAGGCACTTAGAAAAAGAAAGATGGTTGCTTTCAAATTAGTGTCTAATTTTACTCTTGAAATGCATTTATGCAAAATTTCGTTTTTCAGTGAGGTACAATGCACAGGAGCCACTCAAGGTAGAGTGTTACAGAATAAGAAGCACAGTTTGCGTAGATAGGGGGTGAAGATAACGGTTAGCCCTAGATTTGAACAGGCTAAGATTTTAGTGATCGAGAAAACATTCTCTGTATAGTCTTATGTCAAACTGTTTCAGACTAGAGAATTATTTATTTTTTAGAGGCAGTGTATTATGGCTTAGACCTTCTGCGGCTGACCTTTGAGGTCTGATGGTAAACATTTTGTTTACCATCAGACCTCAAAGGTCCAAGACCAACCCCCACCAAAGGGCTTTATAACACAATCCCTTACAATGTTTCTATAAATGTTTGGTTTGTCAAAATGTTTACACAAATACTTACCTGTCCGCCACCGAATGCTACATTACTCGTAACGATACATTTTGAAAGGCAGTAGGTCAGATGGTCGGGAACAGTGGTTTTATGCCTTTTCCAAGAGCTCGTTTATGAAAGAATATAAGCAGACTCAGACGGAGTTCGATCTTCGCTCGCCGATTCCGTTTTGCGTGTGAGTAACTTTTTTTTCATCACCTTACACTTCCAAAGAAGTTAGGAAATAAAAAGACAAAGAGAGAGAAAAAGAGAAAGAAATAAAGATAGAGATAGAAAGAAAGAGAGAGAGTGAGAAAGAGAAAGAAATAGAGATAGAAAGAAAGAGAGAGAGAAAGAGAAATAAATAGAGATAGAAAGAAAGAGAGAGAGAGAGAAAGAGAAAGAAATAGAGATAGAAAGAAAGAGAGAGAGAAAGGGAAAGAAATAGAGATATAAAGAATGACAAAGAGAGAGAGAGAGAAAGAAAGAAATAGAGATAGAAAGAAAGACAAAGAGAGAGAGAAAGAGATAGAAAGATAGAGAGAGAAAGACAAAGAGAGAGAGAAAGAGAAAGAAAGAAAGAGAGAAAGAGAGAGAGAGAGAGAGAGAGAGAGAGAGAAAATGAAAAAAAAAGAAAGGAAGAGAATTTTGTGATTATCGGAGTGCAAAAAAAAACAAAAACAAAACACGTAAAATACGAATAAAAACGCAAGATTGAAATAAAATTATAAGAAAAAAATAAGAAAAAATCAAATATAAAAGCTTAAAATAAAAATTTAAAAAATGTGTCAATCGTTATGGCGGATAAAAAAAAACGAACGAGAAAGAAGAAAAATACACACACATATATATATTGATTGGTAGAGAGGGGAGACAACAAAGACGTTGAAGAGAAAGTGGAAGGTGAAGGTGGAGAATCAAGATTGGTGGCGGGGGTCACCGTCAATTAGTCTTTCTCCGCCCACTTTTTACGTGTTTTGATTGACAGCTTCTTTAATGCTGGGTCAGAAATCGACTATCCGCCATCTTGATGCGATACAAGTCTTCCAAGCTTCGTGCCTCTCCTGTTATTCCTGACACTTGAACAAACGCTGCTGCTTCATCTCTCTTTAGCGCTTGTACCTTTCTTGTTTTTCGATAACGAGTATTTTTTTTCATTTGTCTTTATGTATTGTGCTTTTTCAATCCCACATACTTTTCTTGTTATCTTAGCTTGTTCTAATCTATCTATCTATCTATCTATCTATCTATCTATCTATCTATCTATCTATCTATCTATCTGTTTTTCATTGTCTGTCTATCTCAATTTGTTCATCTAACTATGTTTTTCATTATCTCTGTCTATCTCAATCTGTTCATTATCTATCTATCTATCTATCTATCTATCTATCTATCTATCTATCTATCTATGTTTTTCATTGTCTATCCCAATTTATCTATCTATCTATCTATCTATCTATCTATCTCAATTTGTCATTATCTGTCTCTCGGCGTGCCTATCTCTCTGTCTGCATCTATCTATCTATCTATCTATCTATCTATCTATCTATCTATCTATCTCATTTATCATTATTGGTCTATTTCATTTGTTTATCTATCTATCTATCTATCTATCTATCTATCTATCTATCTATCTCATTTATCATTATTGGTCTATTTCATTTGTTTATCTATCTATCTATCTATCTATCTATCTATCTATCTATCTATCTATCTATCTCATTTATCATTATTGGTTTATTTCATTTGTTTATCTATCTATCTATCTATCTATCTTTTTCATTGTCTTTCTATCTCAGTCTATCTATCTATCTATCTATCTATCTATCTCATTTATCATTATTGGTTTATTTCATTTGTTTATCTATCTATCTATCTATCTATCTATCTTTTTCATTGTCTTTCTATCTCAGTCTATCTATCTATCTATCTATCTATCTATCTATCTATCTATCTATCTATCTATCTCAATTTGTTTATTATCTATCTATCTACCTATCTATCTCTGTTTTTCATTGTCGGTCTATCTGTCTATCTGAATTTGTTAATCTATCTATCTATCTATCTATCTATCTATCTATCTATCTATCTATCTATGTTTTTCATTATCTCTGTCGGTCTGTTTGTCTGTCTATCTATCTATTTATCTAGCTATCTATCTATTTCAATCAGTTCATTATTTCTGTGCATGTCTACGATTGCTGACTGAATACAGTAAATGTGGCACAAGGCCGAAAAAGGGGGAGATGGGTTAAGGTTGGTCGATACTAATTATCCTACATCTATCTAATTAGATTTACGACCCATTCATTCGTTACAATTTACTCATTCACCACAAAAGCTTGTCCCTCATCATTCAATCCTATAAACACCACAATACCACAAGTTCAAGGAGAACCAACAATACCCTCCATAACATAAACATTTCAATATGTACAAATGTGTATACAAAAATATATTAAAATATATGAATGTTATGAAATGAAAGGGCATGGGATGAAACGAAAACAAACTGAAAATAAATGGCGTTAGTGGGACCCGTCACACGCCTTAAAAATAAAAATGGCCGCTGTATCCTGTCTTCCGACAAAATCAAGAGGCTCTCTCGCTAAGGGTGAGGGAATGTTAAAAAAATATGGGCATTAGAAAATTATAAAACTGACCTAGTCAAGATGAAAAGGGCGGGCCAAAACAAACTGGGGAGGCTGGGAATCTTCGACTTGGATTATCACAAAAGAAGCCGGGAAAAGACCGGGAGCGGCCCTTACTCGCATTAAATAGGTACACAAGAAGGGTCTATTTTAACCAGGGAAGAGTTCCACAGGAAACTGTCCGGTTCTGAGTTATGGGGACTTAAAAAAGAAAATCAAGGTTTGCCCTGTTCAGGCGAACTGGGCTTGCCAAAGTTACCCACCTTTGGCTGTAATCTGTTGATACCAAACGCTTTCTTTCTATCTGTCTGTTTATCTATTTATCTATACATGCCTATAGAAAAACAACAGCTGAAATGTAGTAACGAAAATAATAATAAATGAAGATGTATTCATTCATTTTATTCAGTTAGCGCACTTTGCACCGCCGCTGTTGTCACATCTCCCCTCCATCTCATAATTTTGATTCATGATGACATTCAAGGCAAAAGAGTGCGATGACTTGCCGCTTGCTTTTGTACCAGAGATGTTGAGGTCACCCTGTTCATCCTTCCAGAAGTGGATTTGCTTTTTAATTTACCTTCTTTTAGCCTTTGCCTTGAGAGTTAGGACCTAAAAGGCAGCAGGTGGATTGAATTCAGAGTTTTCTTCTTATAGACTGATTGCTAACCAAGGCTATAATGCCAAATCTGCCTTGCTATTTTGGCCATAAGGAAAGAGCTGGATTCACGCATTTCCCAATGGTATCAGAACGTAAGTGAATGTAATTTACTCGACTGAGATTCGAACTCGGTTCTCTGATTCTTCAATCCAATCCCCAACCATTAATCCACGCAGCCTCGAAAAATGAAGATAGCATACGGAATAATTCAACGAATAATAAAACTATTAGCTTGAGTCATAAATAATTTCCGTTCTTGTTTATCCCTTTTATTCTTAACTAGTTTAAAAGCCCACTTCGCGCGTACTATTAAGCTAGTTACTAAGGGCGGCTAATTAGGCTTCTGGTCTCAAACTAAAGAAACCTTTGGTTCAGCTTAAGAAACAGTAACGGTAATTTTGAAGAAATAACTTTGGATTCCACAATTCACTCCATGGAACTTCAAAACCTCACTTTAATTCTGATTCGGGCTATAAGTCCAATTCCGACCGAAAGATCGATTTAGGCCCAAAATTCCGATTTGATTCGAAAGTCCGATCTGAGCCGAAATTCCAATTCAGGCCGAAAATTGAGCTCTTCAAATCACACACTCCGTGGAACTTCAACTGAGTTGAGTTCTTCAAATCACAAACTCTGCGGAACTTCAAAACCTCGTGTCACGAAGCCTCACAGTTTAACTCTAATTCCTTGGAATTTTGAAGAAATAATATTGATTTCCTCAATTCACAAAATTTTGGAGATATTTTAAACGAAAATTTTAAAAGAAAATTTTTTTTAAATCCACAGTTTTTGTGTTACTTTAAACTCAATATTAATTAAATACATTTAAAATCACTATTTTTTCAGTTATTTTCAGTTTCCAAAAAGGTATAGGTCTATGTAGAGTAAATGTGGCCCGGGTTAGCGGGTTTTCGGACAGACACACTGCCGTGTAATTAATCAGGAGAAACTAAATACAATTCTATTTTATCAATTACATGTCTACCATTATTTGTAATAACTTGTTGCTACGTATCAGCCAACTCTTCTATACCTTCTGGGCAAAGTTTCGTAGGTTTCGATATTGTTATATTCCGTGTTAATAGGAATATATACTTGAAAAACAAGGTGGATTAAATAAGTAAAGGTTTATTGTAAAAACCAGTACAATAAGAATAAAGGTAACAGTTATACACAAGGTCGTCACAAGTCAATCCAGTAGTGGTTACTACTATGGGAAGGTTGGTAGATCTCACGTAAGTCTGAGTCATTCTCAACAGATCCCAGCTAGAAATATTTACCAGCCTCCCCACAGGGCAGGATGTGGCACACAGCCGAATTTAATGTGGGGCAATCCGAACCCCGTAGGCTCAGTCAAAAATTCCCGTAAACCCCAGATAAACGGGTTCGGGTCTGTCTACCTCCCCTTTTGCAGAGCCTCATCCGGGTTCCTCTCTGCCCGTTGGCAGAGTTTGACAACAGCTGAGAGCTGAGTAACAAATCCCAGCTAAACTTTGTAGTCCGTTGACTTACAGATACATATAGGGAGTTATTACCTACAGTGTAGTCACTCATAGGGGTGACAGGTTATTCTATTACATCATACTTATTATAAAACCCAGGCTGTGTGTGTGTGTGTGCGTGTGTATGTTCGTTTATATATTGGATCGGATTTCCTACACTTTTCAACCGATTTCAACAAAACTTCACAGGAAAATAGGTTGACGGACACGCATGTCTTAATTATTATTTTTTTTTTCTTTTTTTTTACCATGCGGTGGTTTTGACAGCGCCAAAAATTGGAAAAACACAATTGTTTTTGCACGAAATCAATTTGAAAACACGATTAAAAGGCATTAATGCAAGGGAGACAACTCATATCGAGTTATACTTATTATAAAACCCAGGTTGTTTGTTTGTGTGTGTGTGTGTGTGTGTGTGTGTGCGTGCGTGTGTGTGTGTGTGTGTGTGTCTGTACGTTTATATATTGGATCGGATTTCCTACATTTTTCAACCGATTTCAACAAGACTTCACAGGATTACGTAAAATTACCTTGCGGTTGTTCTGACAGTGCCAAAAATTGGAAAAACACAATTGTTTTTGCACGAAATCAATTTGAAAACACGATAAGAGACATCGCTGTCGCCAGAATGAAAGGAGGACAACTCATATCGAGTTATACTTATTATAAAACCCAGGTTTCTGTGTGTGTGTGTGTGTGTGTGTGTGTGTGTGTGTGTGTGTGTGTGTGTGTGTGTGTGATCATTTATATATGGGATCGGATTTCCTACATTTTCAACCGATTTTAACAAAACTTCACTTTTTTTTTTTTGCAGGTAGTGTTTCTTATTGTCTTGCACACTTTTTTTTCTTTATTTTTACATTCAGAATGCTTTAAAATTCCATTTACAAGACAATTGTTTATAATAAAATTCTATTCAATCGGTAGTCTCATAACGATTGAAAACAATGTTTTTGTTTGGGTTTGACCAATTCGTAAAAAAAAAAAAAAAATTAAAAAAAATAATTAAGACATGCGTGTCCGTCAACCTTAAACAATAATCTTTGTGAATTTTATTTTTCAGTCTTTATGATGGTCGATACTTGATCTATCTCTTACTGTTACATCCCCGGGCAACGCCGGGCTCTACTGCTAGTCAGATATAAACAAAGATTTCACTGAAAATGAATCTGGTTTTCATTAGACATGTTGTTTTCTTTTGCATCAACGTCTTTTGCCACAAAGGGAAACAGGTAATAATCTGTTGCAAGTTCAACTGAAAAAGGCAGGTTGAATAGAACAGACCGACTTAGCCCCATTTTGTTTTTGTCCCGCGTTATTCATTCTGTAGTGTATAGTCATCAGTAAGAGGATGAGCCCGAAATACGATCTGAAGGTCGGGATCACTAGAATCAAGGAGACACGGAAGTTTAATGTTATACCGGAACATACCTATTCTATTGTTAATAGACTCTCCCAGATATAATAAGTAGTAGTAGTAGCATTCGCCAGGTGACTCAGGGAGTTGAGTGAGTCAGTCGATGTCGGACATTGAAGTATCAACCACCACAACTAGATTGCTGCATCATTGACTATTATTTCAAGTTCCTAACGTTTTGTACGTCGAACCTAATTTAGGACCGACTTATTAAAATACAAGCCTCCACTGTGAAAACTACTCTATAACATTTAAATTCCTGACAGAGGACAGGGATGGTCAAACTCTTTTATAGGCCGTATCACAATAACTCGAGTCTCACAGGGATGTTATTCGTACATTTATTTGTTTATTACATTTTATGAAAAGACTGCACAAATGTATGAGAAATTAGTTTAATACTAAATAGATTTACTACTATTAATGAGAATCGAACATAAGCGAAAGACTATTTTCCAATAATATTAAATTCTTGATAAATCTGGCGAGACGTTTATAACAAAGAGCAGAAGTAGCAACTTATGTACACGCAGGCACCTAGATCCCTATTTCCGTTTACACTGTGCTGATGGTAGCGGCGAAGTGAGGCATGTAGCGATCCAGGTGTCCCTGTCGTTGTTTATAACGCGATGTATTGATTTTTGTAGTTAGTGAGTTTCCTAACGACTGGGTTTTGCTGCTATATAGAGATTGTCCATAAATTATCAGTACAATTTAAAAATTTTTTTAAAAATTGACAAAAAGGAAGATAGCTCTAAAGGGTTTATTGTAAAACATAAAGTTTTATTTAAACACATCAGAACGGTCCCACTTAGCCTCCATTGTTTGCATGCAAGCATGTTTCGATAATGCTCATTTTTTTTATTTCTGTTTCCATAAACTTCTTGCGTCAGACATGGATGCTAATACGAATTGGTGTT